TTTGAACTCACAACAGCCTTAGAGGGAGGAGAGGACCCTGAATCCAGTCAGTAATGAGGAGACAGAGGAGATTGAGGTAGCAGGTTATAGTTTTAAGGTAGCTCAAATCTGGCTGAGCCTAGGGCCATCCTGCTTTGGAGCCCAAGGCAGGCAAAGATCCTCTGGCCAGAAACTAGTGCTTTCCCTTCCTCTGAAGCCCTCACCTAAAGACTTAGAGACCCCCTCATAGGAAAGCCTATGCAGGAAGCCTTGTGGTCCTGAGCTGACAGCATCCCCCTCATTCTCTTTTTCTGCTTTCTGTTCATCTATTTCTTTACTTTCACAGCCCAGTTTATGACCAGCAAATCCTTTTAAATCACCAACCACTCCCTCCCCTTCCTTTTCAGACAGGGTTTCATGTAGCCAAGTCTAGTCTTAAATTCTCTATCTTCTTGCCTCAGCCTCCCAGATGCTGTGATTACAGCATGTACCTCCATCCCTGGTCAAGACACGTTTTCAAAAGCACCTGCCCAGAGGGACAGGAGAAACTCAATGAAACACAAGAACTGCTGAGAGCTATTGTGGATTCTTCCTCTACCATGGTTGTCCCTGGGCTGGGTATATCCCCGAGTTCTACCCAGGTGGGACCAGAGAGAGGATGCTGAGAAAATATGAAGAATGCTTAGGATTTCTATAGAAAGGGCTATGAGACAAAGAAGCCTGGAGCCAAGGGAGGGGACAGTCATTTACTTGATGAATGTGCCAGGAGCTACCCTAGGACTTCAGAGTGTGAAAAGTGTTGGTCTTCTTTGCAGGGGCTTTTGGAGTTTGAGGGATTTGGGAGAGCTGCTGCACAGTTCCTGGGATACAGCCAAGGAACGTTGGTATGATGGAGTTTGGTACCAATGGGCACCCTTTGATGCTCCTCCACAAACCTCTGCCCTCTCTCTCTTGTCACTCTGAGCACTGGCCTGACTCCTCGATGCCCAGCAGCCTCCTTGGCCTTTAGCTTGCTTCTAAGTACAGAGGGACATCGCTGCTTCATAGCCCTGTCCCTGGCTCCCATAGGCCATATGGAGCTGTGGATATATGTCCTCAGGTCCAGTATGACTGACACGGGCCGATATCAGGATCTCTGCCCCTGGCTGACTTGGAAAACAGGTTTGTCCATGTCAGAGTGACATGCATTCTCTGATGCAGGTATGCCCAGGAGGACAGAGATGGCCAGGCTGTTGACCACTGACAAGCTGTGGTGGAATGTAATGGGGCATATCTGGCTGCCTGGAGCTCAGGTTCTAGACACTGTTCTCAGGGCTGCCCCTGTGCTCACCCTGGCACTGCAGACACCTGGCAGGAATATTCCATCCTGAGCTGGCTGACATTTTTGCCTTCTGAGATCAAGGGTCAAGTTGCCATCAGTCTCCCATTCCCCACCTGTAAGACTGAAGCTGCCAGGGCTAGAAGGTGCTGTATTGGGTATGCTTGGAGCTGGCTGGTTCTTTACCACAACAGCCTGGACCAGATTTCACTTCCCTTCTCCAAGCTCCATATTGTCCCCCTGTGAGATGTGGATTCCTCTTAAGATTACTGAGTGGCAGACCACAAATATCAAAATACATGCCCAGAAACACTACAAGTTTAGAATAAATAGTGACTGACTCATTGTTACCATCTGACTGCTGAGTGCTTGGCTTATGGTTGCTGTGCCTGCCAGTCATTCTGTGTTGAGTTGGAGCACACAGGGAGGGGGCCTTGCTCAATAGGGGCCAGGGAGGGTATTTGTGTGAGCTCATCTGCAGTTTGCACTGGTCCACATGGTAACTTTGAAAATCAGGTGGATGGGAGAGAGACAGAGAGTATGATGTGGGTGAGCCCTGCTTACTGGATACACCCTGTCCTCTGGACAACGGCATACCTTGGGACATCAACCCTGTTCTATGCTCCCCAACCCTCCCTGACAGCTCTCCTGCATTTCTGTCCTAGTGGGACCCTCAGCCATCTGCCCCAGGCCACGTCTAACAGCAGCAGGACACACAGGAGCCTGGGAACACATGAGCGTCCACTCATCTGATGAACAAGAACTGAAAGCCCACACTTCCTGGGGTTGGCAAGGATGTGAAGAAGCAGTGGCTCACACAGCAATAATAAATGTTCACACACTCTGACCCCCAAATTCTGCTTATACCAATACATCCTGTTACAACAATAAAAAGCAAATGCGTATTTAGCACTTTCTGAGTACCAGTGCGGCACCACACTGCTCACACACTATATTCCAATTTCTATGCTCCCTGTGCCAGTTAGGTACAGTTATCACCATTGTACAAAGGGGAAGCTGAGGCACTTCCCTGAAATTTCATAGCTAGTCATGATTTCCATTGGGGACAGGATTATGTCAACTTTCACGGATGTCTGTGTTACTTGTACTTCTGCAGTTTATGAGAGAGAACCAGCTTTCTCCCGTCAACTGTGGCCTCACTACTCATCCTCTGCTTAGGCTGGTGGCCCAGTGATGGTCATTCTACCAGTTGTTAGTAACTGTACATCTCCTACAGCTAATGGGTCTCTATACCACACCTGTTCTCAGAGCTGAAGTAGGCTTTGTAGACCAGGAAGAGGACACCAAAGATAGCGTGACAGGAACACCAGGTCCCGATCCCTCCTCCCCTTATGCTGACATTGAATTTTACACTCAGAGTTCAGACGCCTGTAGGGCTGACCTCTCCATCCTCCCTCCTGTCCACTATGCTGTCTGGATTAGATTAGGGCACCAGCCCTGGACCAGCATATTCTCATCTTTTCAATGGCCAGAGGATCTTTCTGGAACACAACTCCCTTTCCAGATGAAACTATCTCATGACTCCCTATTGCTGGGTGCAATATGGGTGCTCTTGGCTTCCCAGTCACCCATACTGTCCCTCTCCAGCCCCAGAGATGCTATCTTCCCTTGTGTCATCTTTGTGTAACAATCTCTTCCTCTACTCTGATGTATTAGCCCAATACCCCCGCCCCTCCCTCAGGCTCCCTTCACAGGGTCCCCACACTCATTTGCAGCTTCTTGGAAAGTTTGATTTCTCACACTTGACAATTCTTTAGTTCAAGATTGGGGGCTTTCATTTGTCTTCATTGTGGCAGCCTCAGAGGGTGGCTGGGAGAAGCAATGACTTTTTG